AATATCCTATGGACCTTGCTAACCAAATTGCTTCCCGTTTGAGCTCTCGCATTGGCCCTATGATTCCCAAGTTGACCTTAGATTTGGCCCTTTCCATGATCCCGGTCAAACCTTTGCACACCAGCCCACATTCCCTCCATGATGGAGGGGGCAAAGGCAGTCAACCAGATTGGAGCGTTCCACCCAACACTGACGATGTGTTGAAGCCATTGCGGGATAGATGGATCACCGCAATCCTGGAGCAGGGCCTCCATAAAGTTTTTCTGGCTCATATTGAGCAAGCACAATCCGCACCGCCTTTTTCCGAAGAGTGCATTGACCAATTTCGTCAGTCCTTTTCCACTTGGCTTCCGGTGGATTGGTCTATCCGGGCCGACCAACCCATTCACCTTGCAGCGTTACAAGCCCTCAGCCACAGGATTCGTGATCCCGATAGCGAGGTCTTTTCCTGCTTGATTGCAGGAGTCTCAGCCGGAACCTCTGATGACCCCATTCTTCCGAGTCGAGTGTTTTGGGAGAAGGATGCCATTGCGGACAGTGATGTTCCGGCCCTTCAGATTCATCGGGGTAATTGGAAGTCTAGTGAGGACCATCCCGATTTGACCGAAGAACTCATTCAAAACGAAATCGATCAAGGTTGGATTTTTGAGTTTTCTGGAGATGAAGCTGATGCGCAAAAGCAATATCCCCAAGGAGTTGGCCTAGGCAAATTAGGCATAGCATTCTCAGATTCGCGCCCTCCACGACTGGTATTGGATAGTAGTGTTTGTAACACTAATCAAAACTGTTGGATCCCCGAGCGCCAGTGCTATCCCTCTGCCCGGGATGTTGTTGAGTCATTCCCGCTTCGAAACTGTTCGGAGCCCCAGCGTGCAGCGACGTTTGATGTGAAGTCAGCACATAAACGTATCGTTCTTGCAAAACGCCATCAAGGCCTTGTAGGGTTCACGTTTCGTGGAAAAATCTTCTTCTATAAGGTTTGCCCTTTCGGAGCCACATTTAGTGCCTTTTGGTGGGGCCGTTTAGGATCTTGGCTAGTACGCACCTTTCATCGCCTCATTTGGATCCAACATGGCCTTTGGCTATTTGTGGATGACTTCTTGTTGACTCAAACCAAGCAAGTCTTACCCCTCTTCGCCACACTCCTGGCGATCTTTTGTCAGGTATTTCGAATCCCCCTCAGTTGGCGGAAGTGTACATTAGGTCCAATGGTCGATTGGATTGGCTGGCGCTTCAATTTCTTCAACGGGTTGGTTAGTTTGCATCCTGACAAGCAAGATAAGCTGATTTCACTGATCAACGACTTGCTTGCCCATCGTCACTGCACTTGCAAACAGCTTGAAAAATTCACCGGCTTGGCACTTTGGGTCACTCATCTCTTCTTGCCATTCCGTGCGCTGCTCCATTGGTTATTTTCTGATTTGTATTGTTGCCCTGCTACACACTACAGTGTCAACCCCGGTTTTTGGACCGTGGTCAAATCTTGCCTTTCAGACGACCTCACATTTCTTTGTACACCCACCGGCACAGCAATCCCGGCTGGGTCAAAGCTAGTTTCTGTTAGACATAGTCCTGTCCAAACACTGCATGGGGTGGAATCGGTTCGGTTGACAGATCGTAGATTGTGGCTTCGAATCATCAACCCAAAATCCCAGCAACGTAAACTGTCAATGCACAGCCGACGAGTCCTCAAGCTTTGGTTGCATTGGCTTACCACCTCTCCTCCGCTTCGCACCATGCGCCCGCCTGCTCAGGTTTCCGTTAGAGCATCAGCAGATGCCTCGGCCCAAGGGGAAACATTTCAGATCGGTGGTTTGCTTGCACCTGATTCGACCATCTATTGGTTTGCAGAAAAGTGGCATGTCTCCGACATCAAACACTTGGACATTCCAGTTCGGCCAGATGCCCAAAAGGACATTGCATGTTATGAAACTTTAGCTCAAGGTTTTCTGGTCTTGCTTTGTTTGGCTATTTGCCCCAAAATCTGTGTACCTTTGCATTTTCAAAGCTTGAGCGACAACGTTGCTGCGGAAGCAGCCGGCAACAAGTTATTTACGACCACTGCTCCCCTGTGCTTTTTCGTTGAGGAATTAGCACTTATCCTCATGTCCGAACGAATCAGTTGTGATATCTCCCATATTCCAGGTCCTTTGAACACTGATGCCGATCTGCTAAGTAGATGGGACTTTGTTTCAGATCTCCCTGAGAAATTTGACGCCGCGCATAGGCATCATATGAGCCTTGATGCCTTCTTTCGGTCTCACCGCAAGATAGCGATTCATCCAGCCGACTTCCGGCTCCAGTGGCGATAGACCCGCCATGAGTCATTTTTCACTGCCAACATCCACTCAGCGCGTTTGGGGTTTTGTTTTTTCCGAGTGTTGTTGGAAAATGCGGTTCGGTCTGATATCCCAACAACCCTCAACAGAATTTGGCAGTGAAAAGTGAGTGCTGATGCGTTGTGGTGAGAGAGAGAAGCTTGTTATATCTAGTTGAACATTGTAGGTATCTCTAGAACGTTGTTAGTGATCCTTCACGTAATGTTTTGAGATCCTTCATGTTCCTGGTGCCATTTTGGTTCTAGAGATCGCAATGTTCAACCCCTCCCACCTCAACCCTTTTCTAGCTTCTCTCTTTCGAATACACCAATGGGTCAAGGAAGACCACGCACACCAAGCAGACAGTGCATCCTAAGGATGACGACACCGGCGAGATGGTCAAACGACCAAGCGACGAGATGGTCAAAATGACCAAATAGCGAAATGGTCAACACGACCAATAGCGAAGGATATCGGTCTGATATCCCAACAACCCTCAACAGAATTTGGCAGTGAAAAGTGAGTGCTGATGCGTTGTGGTGAGAGAGAGAGAGAAGCTTGTTATATCTAGTTGAACATTGTAGGTATCTCTAGAACCACAACGCTCGGTCAAAAATGACCACGGGATGGTGGATTGTCCCAACAACGCTCGCTACCTTCAAGCAGTGAAAAGTGTGCTGAGTGTGAAAGAGGGAAAGGAGCTGTTTACTTGTTGGATGAACATTGTAAGTATCCTTAGAACCCAACCGTTTTGCGCCGTTGTTCCAGAATCCTGGGAGGGCCAAAGGCATCTCCAGCAGACCATTGTGTACATGAAAAAGATTCACGATGCAGTCTGGCTTGAGCGATGCCAGACCTCCACTGGAGTAAGGTCTGGAGGGCGACATCGGGACAGGAGGGACGGGAGGAGGAGGTGGAGGAATCATCGCGAAGGCTCCGGCAGATCCAAATGGACCTTGAAGAACTACGACCGCTGCGATGGCTACTACGCCTGCTGTAGGCACACTGGCGTTCAGCCCGCTCAATAATCTGTCCAAGTCTTCTGGCTTTAGCCAACGTTTGCCATCAGCTTCTTGCGTCTGCTGCGGACTGCTGTGCTCTCCGGCTGAGAAACAAGACACTCGTCGGGTACACCCTGGGCTGAAATGCGTGCTGAACTGATTAGGGTTTGCCGCCCACCAGCCTAAGTGAAAAACCAAAGAGTGCAGAGAGTATAACACCTGAAAGTAGAAGGTGTTAAGTGGAGAGATGCATCTCCCAACATCAAAAGACAAGGAAGGCTCAAAGACCTCAAAGTCCTCCAAACGCAACAAGTTTCAACCGCAAGTCTGCCGATGGTAAGCCGTTGCAAAGGCCAGATTCTTGTTCTAAGCGCAAACGGCGGCCCAGGACAAAGGGAAAACCAAAGCATCGCAGGTACACAGAGCTGCTCAAGCTTTGTTTCCAGTACAAGTGGACAGTTTCGTTGGGTGCAGTCTCTGCTGTGCTCTGCACCCCCAGGGAAGGAAACAAAACCAAAAGGTGCAATCAAACATGTTTTCCAATCCAGTGGCTCGAAGGCAGAAAAGAGCTGCGAGGTTTTGGTCATCTACATTTTTCAAAGGACAATCCTTCTCATGCTCCAGTATGTATGGAGTAAAGCACGTCAAGCAGTTCATGCACGTTTGACTTGATTTGTTTGGCAGTGGTTTCAGTTCTTTAGTATTGATTATCAAACTATATCGCGGACCCACCATTCATGACTGAGATCGACGTGACTCCATTGAAAGGCAAAATGCAAAAGTAGACCAAAATCACAATTGTTCGTTTTTCCGGACCAATTCACCAACCGTGTGCACTGCTACTTTTCATTTTGGTATTTTTGAGTACTTGTAAGTCGGTCTACTTGTCACTGTGACATCGCGCGCATGTCGTGAATGCATCTAATCTGTTCACAGTGCCAACCTTCAACACATACATACTTTGATTGTTCATACACTACAAACTGTATGTTTCTGTCTATTAGCGACCCTTACATTTGTTTTCTGTTGGTTCAAAGTTCCTGCAACCCCTCTTTTCGGTTCAACGTAGTCCCACTTTGGGCGCGGCGTGGTTCGTATGTTCATATCGAGAAAACGCGGGACCTTGAGGGATCCCAGGCCATGCACTTTTAGAAGAGTGTGAAGTGAATTTGCAAAGTTTGAGCATACAAGGTATCGTGAATTTGCATTGTAAGGTATCGTTGGAAGCATTCCTTTTTGTAAAAACAAGCAAACCGTATCAGGGGTTGCAGTGCAAGGTGCCGACCGTGCCGGCATTCTTCCTTTCATGGTGCAACACTCAGCTTGTTGTTGCTCAACTGAATGTGTACTGGCTTGAGCGGCCGAAGGCGGCGCCCATGTCTTCGCAAAGCATGTCTCCAAAAGCGATACCACCGCAGGCCATGAAAGCATTTCTTTGTTCTATTTTGCTTCAATTTTGCAAATTGGCAATCGCATTTGCACCAAACTTATCTGCAGGGTTGGTGTTTGAAGCTAGTCATGTCATTTGGACCTTTGAACCTGGACATCCTGTGAGAGACTTTGGCTATCGTGTGGACAAAAAGGCTCAGACGGGCCTCGCGCCCGGGCTCGCACCTCGTTTGCACCTCGTGTTTCTCCCAGACGCTGGGCTCCCTGTGCTCCACAGCGTCGCCCTGTCGCCATGCATTCGGTGCCAGCAGCGGCTGCAGCCGCCGGGACCGCCTTCACTGGGAAATGGCTCTTCGATTACAACCGGGCCAACTTTCAGTACGATGTGCCTCAACGCTTCGGACGTTACATGACCTCCAGGGGCATGCTGAACACCCAGGTTGGCCAGTATCGCCAAGATGTTCATGGCATTGCTGAGCTCACTTCCTCCAAGATGGACACCGTACAAGCCATGATGACCTTGGTTCTTTGTGTGTGTGCAGCTCTCTCAGATGCTGGACGCATTGGCATGCACGGCTGCGCTCCTCCGCAATGGCTTTGCGCCCTCTATTCAGGCAAGGCAAGACCTTTTATGACACTTTTCAGACTCATTTGGTTGGACGTCTTTTCCAAAGGCCTGTGCACGTGACCAGGTCACATTTATACTTCCATTCTTCTCTGCGGGACAGCACTTTGGCTTGGCATGCATGGTTCTTTGCGGGCACAGTGACTGGCTTGCAAAAAGAGAATCCAGAAACTCCTAGTGAAACGAAATGAACCACGTACAAAGAACAAATACAGTGTCACATTGGTCCGGATTGTCTCATGGCTGACACGCATATCATGGTGTTCAGGTGCGCTGCCACTTCATTGTTGACACGAAAGGTTCGGTTGCCAATTCCTTCAATGGCTCAGCTCGACGCTGCCCGATCCTTCGGCTCGGCTTTCGAACAGCAGAAGCTGGGAGACCAGTTCAGAGTGGCTAGGCTACGCAAAACTAGGCTGAGTCACAACCCAAAGAGAGTATGCCAACGTCCCAAATGGCATGCCAAAGCCTTGAGGTAGCAAGTTCAAGAAATTAGGTGCAAATGCCTTGGTTGAGGGCAGCTGTCATTTTCATACTTGCGGCTGTGCAGTCTTGGATGTTGGCAAGTGCAGAGGGTATTCTCAGGTGCCATTCATGCGTCACCCTGAAGATGCTCCTGAGCTTCCTCCTGCATCTTCTGGCGAGTCGGGTGAGGCGCAACATGGATTGGGGATTGGGAATGGACAGTATGCTTTCTATATATCAAGGAAACATGGACATGGGAATGGGCAGTGTGACGTCCAGAAACCTTTATACTACAACTGTATACATGAACCGTTGTTGATAACCATGTTAAATAAATCAACAGAGGTGGCACTATTGCAATAAGAATACAGAATACCCATCAATCTCTTGCTCTTGGAGCAAGACACTTCTGAAGCTTTTGAGCTCACATGTCGGCTTGCAGGAAGATGAGAAGGCCGAGAAAAAGAAAGAAGGCAAGGAAAGCAAGAAGAGCAAGAAGAAGTCTTCCAAGGCTGCGGAGCTAGGACTTCAATTGTTGCATGGGACACTCTTGGTCAATGTTGAATCGCATGTGTAGAGGTCCCCAAGTGGATAGCAACCGTCTCGAATCATGCTGGACTGGGATTTGTTATTAATTCTAATTCTCTATATTGTAATCCCAACGTTCCGAGGAACAGGCTATCATTCCCAGAAAGGTTTTGAACTATGGAGACTTTTTCTTTCATTGCAGGTGGCTGCACCTGATCCATGCACCGAGTTCAGCAGCACTGCTCGCGACACCGTGCCCTCCTGGATTCGTGATGAACAGGCTGGTCTTGGCATCAACTGTGGCAAGTGTTTCCAAGCTCACTCGTGCCTTTTGCTGAAAGCTGGCTTTTCAACCTTGACCGATTTCAATATCCTGCCTGAGGTGGTTGACAAGGGGCTGGGAGTCATGGGGTGCCCTATCTGCAATCAGAAAGCAATTAGCCTCTGAACTTTGCCTCCTCCCCAGCTGATGCAGGATGCAGACTCGTGATGATTTCGAACCTCATGAGACTCCGGACCACTTCAAGATGCTGTTGGCTGTCCACTTCTTAGCTGTCCACGCAGTCTTTGATTTACAAGCTGGCAGCTCCTTCTTGACTAAGGCACAAGAGGAATGGTGGCAGTACGATGTTTATGCCAGAGTGCTCATGCTCTATGGATCTTGTCAGTTCCTGTATGCTGCTTCTTGCAGGCATAGTATAGTTGTGTCTGACTTGTAAAAGCAAACTGCCTTTGTTCAGTAAAGAGATCATTATCACATGCACACCTGAGCCTGCTTTTTTTACGCCCAATGTCCTGAGGTCTGCTACTACTGCATTGGTACCACCATGGCAGAGCTGCGAGGGTTCTGGATCTCCTGGTCCATTCCTATGCTCTTCATGGGTGCTCAGGTTTTGATCATGCGCCTTGATATTGTGCGCACATCAGGAGATCACCATTCCTTTAAAACTATGTGGGGTTCTGCTCACCCTCCCCAATCGACCATAGGGGCAATGCCGTCCTACTCAAAACTATGAATGAAGTGTCTTGTCTATATTAATTATGAACTCAACCTGTTCCTAGCGCAGGAAACCACATGCTTCCGAACGCAGAGTGGCTTGGGCACATTGCACCCTACTTTGCAGTTGCTGCCACAACCATGGAGTACCGCTACTTGTACTCACCTACCACTGTGATCCTCACTTGGGTCTGTGTCTTCTTGGCCTACTTTGGGCATTTTGTCATGGCCTCCTGGAAAGACATTGAGAGGTTTGCACCCTTTGTTTGATAGGGTTACTTACCAGTTTCTTTTTTACTTGTTCTATAGAAATTGTGTTGCAATGCAAGACATGCGTTCGAAACCCTGCTCTTTGTGAGGCTTTGCGGTTCCTGGATTTGGCTTGGCCTGACTGGAACCGTCAAACAGACTTGCCGGACGAGGCGGGAAAGCCCTGGTGGCCATCTACATGGAAGGCTGGGTGAGTCCTTGCTCGATGCGAGAGGAATGAGGCAAATCGACATCCATCGAATTTCTCACTTCTCATCAGCTTATGGCCTCATTGAAGTGGGATGTCGGCAGGTGCCTTCGGCTTTCCGAAATTCTTTGTGGCTTTTGGCACCTCCGAAGAAGTTGGAGCCCGGCCAGCATGACCTCCTGCATGAAGCTGAGGTGCAATTTGAAGAACATGCCATGGCGGTAGCGACAGTTGAGATTCGGTTCCTTCTGGAACTACAATAATGAGAGAGCAGAATGGTCTTTGTTCGCCTAACCCAGCTTACCTTCTTTGGCATATTCCCGTATTCCTTTCATTCGTCGCTGCGCCACAATATCAAGAGTGTTTGACATTCGTCGGTGTGACAGGGCCTGGCAAATTCCGGTGGCGGTGTGGAGATTCGACGCCGCAAGGCCCAATGAGTTGACTCACAAATCATGATCTACTAGGAACAAGGACGCTACTAGGAGCAAAGGGCATCGCTACTAGGAGCAAGGACGCTACTAGGGGCTCCTGGCCTTACTACTAGGAACAAGGACGCTACTAGGACAAAAGGGCATCGCTACTAGGAGCAAGGACGCTACTAGGGGCTCCTGGCCTTACTACTAGGAGCAAGGACGCTACTAGGAGCAAAGGGCATCGCTACTAGGAGCAAGGACGCTACT